GAGAAGGCGAGGCGTGCCATCAGCTGGTGGTCGAATCCAGGGACCTAAATGCAAGTAGTCACATCCAGCTTGTGACTGTCTAATCCTCAGAGCTGGGGTTTTCCAAAGGTGAAGTCAACTTTAGGTTAGCCTCTATTTAGGAATATTTTCATTTTGATGAGGTCTTTTTTCACTTTTCAATGGAAAACCAAGGCCATACATACCAATACTACTGTTCAGAGTAGGGAGCAAGTGTGTCATGTACTCCAATGTATTATCATTGTCTTCTATCTCCTTAATGAGATCAAAGAGAAGGGGCTCCATCCTCTCTTTGGACCTTAAGTGGAAACAAGGGGCTGCTTGTGGCAGGCTGGGTTTGGTGACACCCATGTCCCTTTACTACTGGACAGAATGGAGAGGCTGGGTGGCAGATTGAGCGGTGGTCCAGGCTAGAGCTGCTGAAGCAGGACTCATCTAACTCATAAGCAAACAGCCCTAAAAGCCAGCCCTACTCTTCCAGCTTGCCCCCCATGAGAGACTGGAACCACCCTAACTGCAGCATGGGCTAGGAGTCACTAATACAATGCAGCTGTAAGTCACATTAGTCTAAAGGGGAAGCAGGCCAGACCCCAGGGTCTTCTCCCCTGGGGTGGCATATGGGAGTTCAGGCCGGGTAATCACTTAAAAAAAGAAAAAGAAGAAGTACTAAACTCACCCCTCAGCCAGAAAGTTGTAAATTTCTGAGATTATCCCATTATAGTCAGTCTATAACAGACCTCAAACTCAGCACGGGTCCCACCACCCCAGGCCAAAAGAAATATGGAAAGCCTGACTGAAGGAAAACAGGCGCTCTATTGACCAAGAGGCTTCTATTTCTTTGTTTATTTAGAATTGTTTGGGATTCTTAAAAAAAACGTTATGTCTAGAAGTCTAACACCTACCTTGTACTGCTGCAAAGAAACAGAAGGGTGCTGTCTGTGTAGCTCATTCTCTGCTTCCTGTTTGGACAGGCTTTGCTCCCATTTATAAAGGACCTGAGAACTCTCCTGTATCCTACAAAACAACTTTTGAGAAAAAGAAATATGACACATATGTGAGCCACGTTACACTTACATGGTAGCCTGAAATGCACAATGTCAGGCAAGGAGAGAGCACGGGCCGTTCAACCCTGAATATCTCACAGTGTTCACTTTTGAGAGAATATTAACATTTTATGTTTTTCAAACCAAGTATTGCTGCAAACCAGAATACACAGTCATCACACCACACAGTTTGGATTTCCTTTAAATCGGCCAAGAACCTGTAGATGATCAACTCATCTCTAGACCAGTTCTTCAGCTCAGAACTGTGTCTGTCATTAATTCAATCTGAATATTCGACAATGACTGTTTGGTGAGATGCTGACAGAAACTATTAAAATGCAAAAGGACTTCCTTCTTCCTGTGAGCAAAACTTCCTTAAGCCGCCTTCTGCCCTGGGGCACCAGCATTAGATCCTCCCCTGCCCCCACCCCTTTCAAATAAGAAAGCACATGGTTTATTCTTTTCACCAAAATGAAAGGACTTTTCACCCAGGATTTGCATCCCAAACCTAGCATTGTGAAATGTCAGAACAGGACCCAGCTGGGTCACACGGAGAAGTGAGGTGATCCAACCCCACAGCCATTTCCCCTATCCCAGAAACTGGGCTCTTCTGGAAAGTTCTTTTCGGAACAGAATTCACCACCACCACCACCCCCTAATGATTCGATAACCAGCCCAACACTACGTGCTAAGAAAGCCTACCTTTTTAAGAAGAGAACAAATCTGTTGTCGCACTCCAGGAGATTGGGTATTAAGATTGTAGGTAATGAAGAACTGAATCAGTTGCATTTCTTCTGCTGAAACAACTTCTGTGCTTCGATTGCTTTCACAGAGCAAACCTAACGTATCTAACCGCACCTAAAGCACGAAGCCAGAAAACGTTACCTGACTAATGAAACAGGTGTAGCCTAAGCCACTTGAAAGGCTGAATGATGGACCAAGGCTGCCAAGGGGGAGGGGAGTGCTTCAACCTCAATTTACCCATGTGTACATCACAAAGGTTCTCTACCCCAAAGATTCTATAGGTATTCCCTATAAAATCATGTTCTGATGTGAGTGAATGAGGTATTCAGAAAAGTCAACAGGTGTGCGTCTCCTTAGTCCATGGTCACAGGCAGCTTCATTCCTTTCTCTCTCTCTCTCTCTCTCTCTCTCTCTCTCTCTCTGTGACCACGCTACCCCATGACCTCATCCCTTCCCTCGTGGGTGACTGCTTGCACTGTTAACAGGTCTCCTGGTTTCCAGGTGCTTCTACTCTGCTCCGGTTAAAGACAGTAGCTGCTGTTTCCAGTAACAAAATGAAGGAAATCTGACCTCTTCAGCCTGACAGTGCAGGCTTCCAGAAACGGAGCCCTCTTCCACTACTGCCAACACAATGGCCCCCATCAGCCTCCTGACCGTCATTTGTGTCCTTCACTTACTGGGTGCCTCACCCCAATACTTCGTATCCTCGGATCACATCTCTCTAACTTTCCTGGTCAACCCCAACCTACTCTGATCACTCTGCCCTTCTGAGCCTCCCAAACCCTTTTGCAAGTCAGGGCACACTCATACCAGTTGGCTCATGTTGGTTTTATTAGTCCTTCTATTACACTAACAGTAGCCTGAGTGTGGGGGTTTGCATTTTTCACTTTCTAACTAACCTAGTTGAGGAACCCCTAAAACAGGAGTGAGCCCAAGGTAGGGGGTGCATTGCAAAATAAGAGAATGAATCAAGGTACCAATGAACATATGAATTCCTCGCTGGGATGCTCACTTACCTGGCAGTGCTGATGAACCAAGCCCTGCTTTATTCTTCCAGTGGACACCAGGCTCCCCCAGGGAGCAGCTGCAGACTGGAGATGCCCGTGAGCTCGAGCTGTCCGCAGACATGCCATCAACGCTCCCAGAGCCCCTCTGCTGCTGCAAGACTCTGACGATGGAAAGGATGCAAAGACTGTCACTATGCTCTGCAGGGGCTCTCACAAAACTCAGGAGCCACCTCTCCACATTTCTTATTAACAATGTATTTCAAGAAGTAAAAATCACCTTTGAAACTACATTCCAACATAAATTCAAGTGTCCATTAGAAAACAATCATTACTTTAAGTGAATTAATTGTTCTTCCACTGTTATTGTTAGGTGCCATCAATTTGGTCCTGACCCATAGTGAC